TGGTACCGGGAACCGAACTCACGACCTTGCGCTTGCCAGGCAGGCGCTTTTGCCGCTGAGCTAAATCCCCAGCCCCGAATTTGTCAATTTTGTTGGTGTGTGTTTGTAAATGTGCATGCACACGCATTTTGAGACAGTCTTGCTGTGTAGTTTAGGCTGTCCTTGAACTCAGTACGTAGCCCATGCTGAACTCATGGTGATCCTCCTGCTTCAGCTTCCTGAGTGCTGGGATTATAGGCTTGCACCACCCCCCTTTGCTTGTTGACTTTTGTTTTGTTGATTTGCTCTTTACTTTATTTATTCCTGCCCCCCTCATTGGTGGTATTCCCCTTCTGCTAGCTTTGGGTGTAGTTTGTGCTTTTTCTAGTTCTTTAAATTGTAAAGTTGACTCAGAACACTTTCCCCACAGTCCTGCTCTGTTGGTCAGGCTGACCAAACACCTGGGCTCACGTGATTCTCCTTAGCCTTCCGAGCAGCTGAGTAGTTGGGACACTGTACCCAGTTTCACCTTTGTTCTCTCTGACTCCCTCCCCCCGCTCCTTCCCTCCTCCCTCCTTCCTTCCCCTTTCCTTCCTCCCTCCCTCCGTCCTTCTTTCTTTCTTCCTTCCTTCCTCCCACCCTCCCTCTTTCTTCCCTCCTCTCTCCTTCCCCCTTCCTTCCTTCCTTTCTTCCTTCCTTCCTTCCTTCCTTCCTTCCTTCCTTTCTTTCTTTCTTTCTCTCTTTCAGTGGTGCTAGTGATTGACTGCAGGGCCTTGCACGTGCTAGACAAGTGCTCTACCACTGCACTACATCCCCTAATGTTTTTTTTTTGGTCTTTTTTTTTGTTGTAGTTGTTTTTTCCGATACTGGGAATTGAACTGTGGACATCGCGCTTGCCAGGCAGGCGCTGTTCCGCTGAGCTAAATCCCCAGCCCCCTTTTTTTGTCTTTTTGAGACAGGGTCTTGCTATGTAGTTCATGGCCTAGAGCTCACTTTGTAGCCCAGGCTGGTCTCGAATTCGCTTCGATCCTCCTGCCTCAGCCTCCTGAGTGCTGGGATTACAGGTGTGTGCCACCGTGCCTGGCTATATCCCCTAATGTGATTTTAGGGCTATGCTTGTTCAGCACAGCTGACCAGATTGAAATTATGTGAAGCTTTATTGTGCTTATAGTTCTGGGGATTGAGTCCAGGGCCTTGTGCATGCTAGGCAAGCACTCTGGTACTGAGGAACCCTTAGCCCCGTCTTTGTTCTCTTTTTTTTTGGTGATGGTGTTGCGTATTAGACATGTGGCTTCTGTGTATGAGGCAAGTACTCTACCACTGAGCTAGTTACATCCCTAGTCCTTTTCATTATTATTTTATATTTTGATACAGGGTCTTGCTAAATCACTAAATTGCTCAGGTTGAGTTTGAACTTTTCGATCCTCCTAGTGCAGCCTCCCAGAGTGCTGGGATTATATGCATGTATCACTATGCCCAGCTTTTTTTCCTTTTAAAATAGGGTCTCACTAATAGTTCAGACTGGCCTTGAACTCACTTTGTAACCTAGGCTGGCCTTGAACTCACAGTGATCCTCCTGCCCCAGCCTTCTGAGTGCCTGGATTTGGGATTACAGGCGTGTACTACCACACCTGGATCAAAGTATATATAATTTTTTTTTTTTTTTTT